TAATGAACTAAGTGTTGTAAAATTAAATATGTGGTAAGTGTGTATTATATTTTTTAATATTTTATTTTTTCAAGTTTCAAGGGCGCTTTGACTTGCATCAGCCACTGTTATGAATGGTCAAAAACATGCAAGCAGCAGTGGACCCCTGACATGAAGGACCTCCTCAGAAGTGGATATTGGCCAGCCTCCATCACCAATTCCACACTTTATACATTGGACCTCCTGAGCTCCTTTAAGGAACTCAAGATCATTTCTCCAGGATTCTCCAGACAGCCTTTGCAAAACTGCTGGACATCGCACTAAGTGTGGAGAGGAAGAGTAAGTGTAAATGTTTTTCTATTTAAAAAAAAAAAAATCCATAAGCAGCATATCAAAATACTATTTCATTCTATATATTTTCCAGTCTGGACCTTCAATGCGATGCCCTGCCTACCCTCTGTACTTCAAAGGGAGCTCATGCCAGCCAAGGCACAATTCTTTGCAATGGACGTGGCATGCAAATACTGGCCATACCTGGAGAAAGTTGCTACTGTCCTTCCTGCTCTTCAGGAACTGACCACCATGAAACCCTTTCTGAGTGTGATGCATGCTCGAGCCCATGCTACTAAGTGTGAGGTGTGTATAATATTTTGGCATCATATGTACATTGGTAATATTTACAAGCACATTAATAATATGAATATAAGTTAAGCTACAGTATATTATCTTGTCTTTTTGCATAATCATTTCTTCTATGGAATGTAATGACCTTGATGCAAATTGTGGTTTGTGATATTGGGCTATATCAATAAAATTAAATTGAATTTCTTCCACCCTTTACTAACAGATTAATTGGAGTGGCAGAACCAGGAAGGAGCAGGACAAACCGCTGGTGAGGAGGTGGAGCAAGTAAACAGTTACCTCTCACGTTGTGCCCTGACGACCAAATATATGTCCAAAGCAGGTGATCCGAGTTTGCAATATTCGTGTATACTATTTTTAGATTGGTCATCATAACCTCATTATTTGCTTTCAACAGCACGGGTGGACATGCTTACATTGCATGCAATGGGGTGGAATGAGAAAAAAAATCTCTCTTTACATCAGGCACTTTCCACAAGATATGTGAAGGTAAGTCTCATATTATTTTTTTGTGTCCTTTTGTTGTTTACTTGGCCTGTTGTTAATCATACATTTACATTTCCTGATTATTGTATAACACTGTTCATCAGACTTGTCAGGACTCCATGATGAGACTGCAAGGCTAGCTGACCTAAAAACAGAACTAGATTGCACAGATGAAGTGGTATCACAGTGGCTATCTGATGTAAAGGAATGGGCAGCTGGTGGTAAGCATTACCAGATAAAAGAAAAAAACAAACATCCCTTTCTACAATCTAAGTTTGATATTAAAGAGCAGCAAAAAATAGTAGGCGGATCATCATCTAATGTGATGCCACATTTATGTCAGGTTTATTAGTATATTCCTGTTCCCTGCAGGAAGTGCACATACAAAGTTTAAATAAGTTGGATTAAAAGGTTCTGTGTTGTTTTAACAGTAAATTTGCTTTCACTATATCTTCTACAGAGACACCTGATGCATCTCATGCCAGTCAAGGCACAACACACAGAGGAATGCAGCAATCAATTGAGGGCTCTACCTTAGTGTGAGGCACCGGAAGCGAACCCTCTACCGTCAGAATGCACTATAAACTATATAATATAATAGGTTGATTAAATTCAGGCTACTGTATGCATCTTACTCCACCAACATGAAATTAGCAAAGTAGCACAGTTTCAGCTCAATCATTGAATTATGTTCTTTAAATGAAAGTCTGTAGGATTTAGTGGTATCCATCAGTGAGTTTGACGATTGCAACCAGCTTCCCTCACCTTATCTTTCCAAGCTACAGTAGCCGATGAGAAAATGTGAGAGGTACTATCTAAACCCAGTGTTTGCTTGCCTGTTGTGGGCTACTGTAGGAATGTGGACGTGCAACATAGTGGCCTCTGTGGAAGCGGAACGTATTTAGATACAAAACTGCCCATTGTAAATGTATTAATGCACAATTATTATTTTCATGCAATCATGAAAAGTGTGTGTGTGTATGTGTTAATTATTCCAGCAAATAGATTGCCCCCAAAATTTTACACACTGAACAATTTGTTTCCCATGTCATTCTACATTATAATTTTCACACACTTCAATAACTGTAGCTCAATAACTTTAATTTTTTGGCGCTATATTTTTTTTATTGTTGAAGAGTTCTGTCAAAAACGTCTGCCTCTGTACTTCATGTCTTTCTAGACAGCAGCAAGTTTCGCCATCGCCTTCGAAGGAAGCTGGCAGAAGACAAAAAACTCCTTCTTCAAGAGATACAGAAATACAATGATCTTGTACTAGAATCGGCAACAAACCATTGACGTTGCTGTGGTGGAGCATTCCCTAACTGGAGAGAGCACTGTGTCTCAAATATGGCCGTGGGAGGTTGGGCAGTGGTATGTCTGTTTTTAGATGCTTCTCAGGAATTATTTTACAGTTCTGCTTTATAGAGTATACTGAACTAAGGCATGCATCTTACATATTGAGTGTTGTAATATTAATTTAGTTTAAAGTCCCTGTAAAGTCAAAATTAAGTATGTGTTCTGAGTTTGTGACACCACAGAAAAATGTGTTATTAGCCATCCAGCCAAATTTGAATGATAAAAAAGCCGGCAAGTACATAAAATAAGCTATCAAAATCATGAAAAAATGAGCAGATTCTCTGCTCTCAAACGCTGGGGGCGTGTCCGCTGGCTGTGCTGAAACCACGCCCACTCACGGGAAAGCTGTCGACGGTGATATTAGCTGATTAGCTTTTGGAGACGGGAGGATGAACACTGAGGCGGGAGATCGTCGTTTCGGCCCCGTTCACCAGTAACAGCGGATTATCAGTGAATCCCAGTTGTCTCTGAGGAAAGTTTATAAAACGATCCAGTGTAAAACGTTCACTACAAAGGCGGGTGTTGGCGGTGATCCTCAGCTCTTCATCAACAAGGTTGGCTCTCTAAAAACCTCTTCTTGATGTTATCGTTTTTAGGGAATTTAAATGAAGATACCGATCTGTTTTGTACATGATCGCATCCAGGTAATAGCCTATGCATTTCTGTGTCAAATAGCTAGCTAGAAAACTGTAGGCTGTAGTAAATAATAGGACTGACAGTCACTCGTGATTGAGCGGCGAATGTGCTCTATTGTTAGGGGAGAGATCAGACTCTGTGCGTCATCAAATAGGGGCGTGTCCACGAGCTCATGGGCCCCAGTGTGTCATCGAGCCCTGTTTTAGCCCCGCCAAAACAATCCGTAAAATTGCAATGGTGAAAAACTGTTTAACGGTCTAACTCCACATTTCAGTACTTCACAGTTCACAGACTTTGTAAAATGTTTTAGCAATACATATGTAACATTTACAATGCGTTTAGAAATTTTTTGTAGAATTGCCTTTACAGGGACTTTAATGGTGTATTTTCAGTTTCCTTGTGTATAAATTTGATTTAAAAAAAAAATCAATGTTTGTAGTGATTATGCAAGATTGTCTCATGTATACATATAACTGTAATTGATTCTTAGCAAACATGTCAATGAAGAAACAAGTGCATGACCAAGTGATGTTAACAAGGCGACTGCATGAGGAAACAAGAGTTTTGGTGTTGGTGTTGGCACAACACTGTACATGGTTGCAGAGCCTGGCAATGGTTCTCAAGAACAAGTTGGCTGAGGAGGGTAAGCTAAATTAAAACACCATCCATCTAATGTGAAAAAAAACACTCATCAGTCTCAGTCACAGAACTTGGATGGAGTAGATTTGTTATTGCATTGCCGTATCCATTAGGCATCTACATAAAATAGGGATTCAACCTGTTACTGTAGCTATTGTAACAAGTCGGTAAGACTATAAAGATTCACATTTGCTTGAAAGATGTGCAGATTTGTTGTACTATGGCTGTTATTAGAAAGCTGAAATTAACAAAAGAATTTTGAACATTAGACTTTGTGTCCTGATGTGTTACATAGGGTTAGCATAACATCAATATTATTATCTCCTCCAGTCAACATAGAAAACCTTGCTGGTCAGCAAGTAACAATGTGTTAATTCAGCACACAACTGTAGTGAAGAAAGCTGTTTTAAGTTAACAGTTAACAAACATGGGCACAAAACTTTGGGCCTCCCTCCATAAAGTCACCTCAGTGAGCTATCATGTTGCCTCAAGTCGTTTTATACAGAAGCGAGCCTGGTCCCATGTCAGCGATTAACTCACATAAAAATGCCAACCATCCTGCTATGTAGATTTGAATAGGGGATATTTTTACTCCATTTAAGTTCTTTGGCCTAATGAAACAATCTTAGTATAGTTTGTCTTTAATGTAATCTATCTCTTTTGTATTTGAGACGTAGACAAGGGAAATGAGGGACTTTGCTGTCTCTTAAGAAGAAGACTGGCAGAGGTGTCAGAAAGGTTCCAAGTTGTCCTCCAACAGTACAAGACTGCTTTAGGTCCTGAGGCTTCTGTCCTTCTACATGTTGAAGAGGAATGTCAAAGTGGCCTCAGTAGTCCAGACACCAGTGAGGATGAAGAGGAAAACACAATTTAGGTCATTTATTCATTAATATGTACATTTGTCTGTTTTTGGAATAACCCCGTTACTGTTTATAATAATTTATATTGTGTATTTCATTAATGCTTTACACACCTTATTTGTTTCTAAAACAGATGAAATTCACCCTCTTATTCTAATTCTTGCTTTTTTTTTTACTGTAATTCTCCAGATGGAAGCTGCACGAAGGACTGCGTTGAAGGAAATGGACTTGCCCTACAGACCTTATGCACCAGAGAAACGAGGGCGCCGCCATCTTTAGAATATTGTCTTTGAACTTTTTTTTTGCGGTCGCTCTCTATATTTCTATGGCATCGCTGTCGAGGAGTAATTAGCTGGTGAAGTGGATTTACTTGTAATTGTAGAGTTAACGAAAGTTATCATGAGCATTGGAATGTTTATCATAAGCATTGTAAAGCAGATGTCTTAACAAATGTCGAGCGGGAAATTTTTCAAACGAGCCGTTCATTCAAAACTGCAAGAATCGCTGTGAAAATACAGACCGGAAGTCAAAAGACAACGAGCGCAGTGCTGAAAAGGGACAGGGCTACATAAGGTCTATATCTGTGTATTATTTGTATGCTGTTTGATTAACCACAATAAAATCTGTGTGCATTCTATCTTGTGGAAAATTCAAACTGTGTCTTTAGATTACAATGCAATTTAGTAAGCACATTGCACATGCCATTGAAGATACACAAACCTGTCAGTATAGGAGCACCAATCTTAGCCAAAAATGTCAACTTGGCATGATATTACCAAATGTAATTACTGGGCTCACATGATATTTGGGAAGTGAATTCATACCCTTTTAAGAGAGACTCCCCTTGATTGCGGTGACCTGTGACATTTCCTCTTGCACCAATGTCAGGCCAAACTTTTGAATGTTATGAACCGATTTTTGTAATTTGCTGAGCAATGAATCATGTCTTTTTTTTTTGACCTCATGACGTTCCCTGTAGTAGCACAACCATTATACCAGAATGTAAAATTTGATTTGGTCTAATTTGGCAGATTGCCATGAAATCTTGTAAGCACATGATGACTTTGGTGACCTCATGACCATTCCTCTATCATTACATAGGCCATAATTTAAAAACTCGTTCTTGATCACTTGCATTTTTTATGTTGTGATTATACTTTATATTGTATATTATTACAGTTGACAGATGACTTGATCTCTGTTCTGCTGGAGCTTTTCAAGTGAACTTATTCTCACAGTCCATTGTTTTAAAATACTGCCGTATGGCTTGTTTTGAAAAAAATATGCATTTGGTGTATTTTCAGTGGTATTGTTGAGAAAGACAATTAATAAAATATTTTCAAAGATTACTTTTTACTACATTGTTATTGAAGAGCAATATTTGATATTTGTATGTTTAATAAAATCCAATAGCGGGATTAAACTTATAACTTAAATAACTTATTTATATGTGGAATCTTGTTTAATTTAATATCCCACTGTATCATTAATTCATTACTTTAATGCATGTCTTTTTTTCTTATTTTCAAACCAAGCTTGCTTGTAAACAAGTAATATCTATTATATGTAAGGTGTATGTTACATTTCCTCGATTGCTGAAACACTATAACTATGGTTTTGAACAAAAATGTAAAAACCATAACACTGTTTATAAAAAAGCACACACTTTTCCGCAAACAAAAAACACTTGCTCAGTTTTGACACATGCTAAACTTTACACACATCCCTTCATTTTTCATTGCCTACAATGTTGTAATTTAGAAAGGCTTGCATTCAGGACAGCTTCAGGTCAATTAGCACACAATCACCCAGGATCAGGAGGAAACACAAATAGTCAAAACTGATCACACAGCAATCGAAACCTTCAATAGATCGATGGAAGGGATAAGATGAGAGGGGAGGGGAAGGGAAAGAGACAAGCAGTCTCAGATGAGATTTGTGCCACTTTTGACCATGTTCTTGTCCATGGTATGACTATGAGGGAGGCTGGGCTACAAGTACGGCCAAACTGGAGTCACTTCACCGTCACCTCAATCATAAGAACCTTCAGGGAGGAAAACAGGTACAGTAGGTGAGCTTCAGACTGCTGTAGGATTAAAAAATAATCCAAGACATTTGAAATTGACATTACTGTGTTCCACCCTTTCTTTCAACCACAAGGACCATTTGGAGTTCCCAAAGACAGAGAGGGGCTGATAGTGATCAAGGCCTGAAGGCCAAGATTTGTGTACTTTGGGGGGTCAATGAATGTCACACCTCTATAACAATGGGGGAAGTGCAATTATCTGATTGGTGTGGTATTACAAATAGGTTTCCACTCCAATGGTATAAAAATTGATAAAGTTTATTAGATGATTATTGAGTCTCCAGCAAGAGTCTCCTTTCCTGATAGTCCTGTTTTCTCACATTTCAGCCTAGAGATTGAACTGTTTAGGTTGATTGGATTAGCTAGGGGAGACTTCCACCTTTTGTCTTTAATGGCTCTGGGATGGCTCTTTGGAACCAGAGTTCCTGGCCACTATCAGCATTTAAATAGTTATGCTGATTCAATTGGATTGGAAATGCCCTCAGAGTAGGGTGTGTTCCTATTTCATTTGCATGCTTTGTTTCAGAGTGACTCCACCCTATGTAAACTCCTCCCCTCTAAATGTATAAATTGCAAGGGAATCTTTCCCTTAGAGAGACGATGTTGAAATGACTGCAGCTACGAGCAATAAAGAACTTCTGCTTGGAAAACGTCCATTGTCTCCTGGTCTCCTCTGCTTCTAACATTTCGACAAGGAGAAAAGTTTCTAACATTGGTCAGTTTGAATGTCTTTGGGTTTTAGTCACATGGTCAGGGAAAGGATAAAAGAAGACTGTAACTGTTGCTCTGTCTCTCTGGCTGGGTAAGATTATCGGAATAAGTCATCATCTCATACATCTATTTTGTAACTATTTTAAGTGTAACCATAACCACATTTTGTCATTAAACCTTTTCAATTACAACTAATGTGCTAAATAGTTTTGATTTGGTATTGACTTTGAAGTGCTACCTATTGCAATACAATACTGTCACTGTCTATAGCAACGCTCTCCCACATATTAAGCTATTGTAAATCCACTTATTTCCATTGTTGGTATAAGTGGCAGTGGGTGGAATAGACAAGAAATGTACAGTTTTACCAGCTTGCTGATAACATTTCTTTAATCATTCAGCAGTCTTGCAGCCTGAACCCCTGCAAGAAATCAACCCTTACACTGCTCTCTTACTGTAACTTTTGACTCACAATAGAGACATGTACGGTAGCTGTTGCACTACTACTGTAATGAAAAGAAATGCATCAAATTCCCTCATACAGATAGAGTTTCTGTATGCTTTCATTTTCTAAAAAAGGATGCATTATAGTTACAGTAAAAAGTGCTTCTAGCCTTCTAGCATAGTATTACACGATGGAATGGAAGAAGCCTGTCTGGACATTTCATTTCATGTGGATCAACATGGTTATTTTGCCTCAGGTTAATGTAATAAACTGTTGCTTGTCATCATCATTATGGCAAGGACAAACAATATCCCAATAATAAAGATTTCCAAAATCTGTGATATGCTCTCCAGATCAAGACATTCACAATAAATCAAATGTTTTTTTTTTTTTTTTTTTTTTTTACTAATTTACTGACAAATTTACTGTTTTATTTTACTTTTTACTGACAAATACTGTTCAATTCTAGAAACTAAAATCTGGTGATCCAGATAGGCTGTATCTTTATAATTAAATCTGTGTGTGTCATGGTGTGGGTTCATGTCTTGTGTCCCCCCCCCATTTTTGTGAATTTGGTTCAGTCCTGTTCCAGTTTTCCCGCCCCTTGCTTGTGTTCACGTTTACAACCTGTGTTGTTAATTTGGGTTGTGTGTGTCTTCTTGTCTGTCATTTTTTTTTCCGTTTGCCATGTGTCTTGTTAATTGGCTTCATGCACGGCAGTATTTCCGGTGAAGGTTTAATGATGCTCGATAACTTCCGCCGATCGTAGTCCAATGCAATGGCCATAATATATATTGAATTTTATACTCCATGGTTATACTAAAGAAACGTTAGTCACAAAAACATATAAAACAGACACACCTCGTCGTGTTTATGCTTCTTTTTTGAATTATATTAAATAAACATAACTATATATAAAATTACATCTAAAGGTATGAACGTTTAGTTTCAAAGACAGGAGGACAGTAAATTTTAAGGACTCTGCCATAATCCCACAACCGGAAGCTGTAGAGCATCCAGGATCCTTGCGTCAAATGCAGAACGTATGCGTGCATAAGCCCATTGATCATTGTTCTCAGGTGTTTCTTATTAGCCACGCCCCCTTGTTATCTTGTTTGCCTGTGTATTTAAGCCCTGTGTTCAGTCTTTGTGAGTTCTTGGTTGTTTTGTCCCCCGAGTCCTGTTTCCTGCACTGTTTGACGTTTAGTTATATAAACGTGCTGCATTTGGATCCTGCTTCATTTGGATCCTGCTTCTCCCTTGCTTCAACCACTTCATGACAGTGTGGTTGTGTCTGTTGTGTGTGTGTGTCTGTGAGAGATAATACAATCAAGATATGACATATGGAACAGGTACTTCACCCAACAAGCAGCTCCATACAGTTCTATTCACCATCTTTTTAAATACATAAAACCATTCATTTTATTTGGATAAATTGTTTTTTTTTTTTTTTTTTTTTTGATCAGATTTACCATTTGTTATTTGTTTGCGCTGGTCAATTATGAACAAAAAATTCAAAAATTAAAGATAATGTAATGAGTATAAAGAAGGTCACATTTTTTGGAACTTCATATTTATGCTTCATGTCAATCAAGCCATGAGGCTGTATTTCTTGACTGTGAGGTTAAGTGAACTTAAGCAAAGACAAAAGAACACGAAATCCAGCAAACCCTTTAAGATTAAACTCCAGGTCACATTCTTGGAGATTTTCACCTTTTCACTACAGAAAGATGAGATATGACTTCAAATGCAGCACAGAAACAATGTAATAAATAGGCTGAAACCAAAATGGAGTTCAAAACATACATTTTATTTATTTTCATTATTTCGGAGAGAATCCTTTGGCTGCCAGGAATTGGCCCACTGCTCACCACTAAAAACAGAAGGTATTTTTCTGTTACTGGTTTTCCAATAAACTTGCATCATTACCGAACATGTCTTGGTAACACTTTATTTTGATAGTCCACTTTAGACATTCTACTAACTATAAGTAACTTTTCAACTACATTAACTAACTGTCATTAGAGTATTAGTAGACTGTCAGCTT